ACAAGTGGAGAATCGAAACCAAGCCACTTGACTCAATGACGATGTCATGATGCAACGCGCATGTGTTAATCATTTTCGGCCACCCAAACCCCATTTTTAGGTGCTTGAAAAGGAATCATACGATAACATGTTTTCAGCTTGTCAGCTTGTGGGTGGTAAAGCGTGCACATAAAAGAACCCATGACAGTTGGCATTCAATAAAAGAGTAAGCCGACTAGTGCCTGTCTTCATTAGCCCAATCGGTGTAGAACAGTAGGATGTTAAACACCATTTCATTTCATTATTTTCACATGATAATGAATACATCTTTGAGAGGGAGATAGAGAGAAGGAGGAGGAGACAGAGAGAGAGAGAGAGAGAGAGATGTCGTTTAACATCTACTTGACACAAACTAGGTCATTTTAGGACTAAGTAGGGTACAATTTTATTTCAATAATTTGCTTGCGCGTAGGGGTCTTTAGCAGTGAGAGGAAACCGGAGAACCAGGAGAAAACCCTAGAGGTTGGACAGGCAATCCTACTCCTTGTCACTACAACCGGGGAATCAAAATCACACCAGTCGACTTAATGTCAGACCTTATGACACAGCGCGCACGCACTAACCATTTGGCCATCCAACACCCCCCCCCCCAATACATTTTGGAAGAATCACATGTAGCCTGATACAGCTGGATCAAGATTTTATTTATTAGGTGCCGAGACAAAAAATAAATACATACAAAAATGCAATAAGAAAACATGACCTTCTTCTATTTGTACAAAAAGTAATATTTATAACTTAAATATAAAAACAAATATCAGTTAAAAAATAGATATGAACTTTATAAAGCATACAAATATTAAAAATAAATAGAGAGAGAGAGAGAGAGAGAGAGACAGGAGTAGGGGTCTTGAACATTTGAATGAAACTGCTTGTTGTCAAAACTTTGCTGAGAATTAAGTAATTCGAATGAAATTTTCAATATATTCATTTTACATTATCCTTTTTTTTAACTAGTATAGCGGTCAGCTTTGTATCAAAATCTTACATAATGTATCTTAAATGGTTAGATAAAACAGATTTTGTGTTTAACTGTCAACACAGTAACAAGCCAAAGGGCAATTCATTTAGGTGAAAAATTTAATTAGTCGATAAATGGACAAAAATAGTGTTTTATGCTGAGAAATAATCTATATTTTGAAGGCAAACTTAAATTTGAGCGGTAACTCTTCCGATTTTTTTTTATTTAAAGATACATTATGGGAGACAAGATAACGAGATGACAGTTCTAGCTATAAGGGTTAAAAACCTTGCCGGAAAATCCTGATAACTGTCTGAGCACCAGGATCGAACAGTGGCTCACACTGGCAGAATTAGAGGATGAGTCCCTCATATCGAGTACGATCGAATTCAGAAAAACTTTACGTATCTTATAGTACATACAATAGAAGACCGGGACTTAATAACTAGACTTTTCAGAAACAATGTTTAGTGATCATGATGAATTCAAACAAATTCAAAGTAAGAGACCGAAAGGACACAGAAGGCTTATTACATGTATCTAGACTTTACGGCTAAATCTATTTGCTAAGACCAGCTGAATTAAGCTGGCCTTATCATTTAGCACCAACCAGACTTTACATTAACAAGGTTATTGATGATGATTAATTTGATCAAATTCAAAGTACGGAAGGACAATGAAGAAAAAGAAAAAAAAAAGGTCTTTGTGAAGGATGTGATGAATTGGAAGAACTTCAAAGCAAGGAATCGGAAAGCCAACATGTTGCCAACCATAAATTACTTCAAATTTTATTATTTTGTGGTCCAGGGACATTGGATAAATTAAATAACTTCAAATTCTATTATTTTGTGGTCCAGGGACATTGGATAAATTAAATAACTTCAAATTCTATTATTTTGTGGTCCAGGGACATTGGATAAATTGCTACAATCATTAAGAGAAGAAGGTTGTAAAGACATTGCAGATCAAATAGAAGTATCAGGCCAGTTATCCGTCGTTTATGAATCAGGCCAGTCTTCCGTCGTTTATGAATCAGGCCAGTCTTCCGTCGTTTATGAATTTTTAGTTTGACCAATTTTGGACCCTACTAATCACTGACAAGGACCAACAAGACCTTTTTTTAAGTCTTGAGCGTTTAAAGACGCTAAAGTATTGAAAAAAGTGAGCGCTAACTAGAATCAGGTTGGGTGTCATTTTGATAAACGATTCCAGAAAATGCCCCACCCCAAATCATCTACAAGTATTACGATCCGATCTGTTTTTTCTGTAGTAATTAAGTTAGCAACGATGTCCAATCCATTTTTTGCTTTTTGAGTTTCAAGTTGTCTGTAGAAACAAGCATTTGATTGGAAATGAAATGGGGTTTAACGTCATCTACTGTTCTGCTACGAACTGGGCTAATGAAGACGGGCATACGCCATAGAGTGTGCTATGAGGGAAATTTGTCCCAGAAAGCTGCACTATGGCCTACTATTATATCGAATTCCAACTGTCACCGGATCTTTTACGTGAATGCCAATGTATACATGGGACCTCAGTTTCTGTCCTATCCGAACGACTAGACAGCTGTCCTAGTCAGACGCATTTGATTGGTTGTTACTGCCTATTATTGAACCTTTCTGTCAATGAGAGATTGTTTCACAAAATCTGCGTCACTGATGCATGGCATTTGTAAAATTGGGGACGATGGCAATCGTAAACTTGTTGATTCGGCAACCACTTTTTTTTTAAAATCTAATATTTTTTTTTAATGTAATTGGGTTTTTTTTAAATTAACATTTTTTTTTAAAGAAATTTCACATTTTTTAAAAAGAAATTTAACATTTTTTTTTAAAAGAAATTTAACATTTTTTTTAAAAAGAAATTTAACATTTTTTTTTAAAAGAAATTTAACATTTTTTTTTAAAAGAAATTTAACATTTTTTTTTAAAAGAAATTTAACATTTTTTTTAAAAAGAAATTTAACATTTTTTTTTAAAAAGAAATTTAACATTTTTTTTAAAAAGAAATTTAACATTTTTTAAAAAAGAAATTTAACATTTTTTAAAAAAGAAATTAACATTTTTTAAAAAAGAAATTAACATTTTTTTTTAAAAAAAATTAACATTTTTTAAAAAAAAATTAACATTTTTTTAAAAAAAATTAACATTTTTCTTAAAGAATTTCTTTAAAGATTTTTTTTTAAAAGCTGACTCGAAGAAAATCATGGCCGACTAATGGAAATTCTGCAGCCAATACAAAATATATTATTTATTATTTTTTATTACAGTAAGAATCAAGCTGAGGTTTATCAATAACAGATGGCTGATTCGATATCCTGGAAGAAAATTATAGCCGATTAATGGAAATTCAACATACGATATAGTACTTGTCATTTGTAGGAAGAATCAAACTATGGCTTGTCAACAAAAGATGAGTGACCTCCCTGTTACGTCCAAATTATCCTTTGATGGCTTGGATTACTTTGATCCGAAGTTTGTAGCGACAAGGAATAAGATAGCCTGTCCACCTTACAAGTTTCCTCCGGGTCCCTCCCTCCCTCTGCTAAAGATAGCTACATGTACATTACAAATGTATGTGCAAGCGAATTTTGGAAATAAAAAATTGTACCATACATGTACATGTATGTTAGTCCCAAAATGGCCTAGCTTGTGTTGAGTGGATGTTAACCTCATTTCACCCTCTCATCAATTCTTCTAAATTTTTCAAATAAAAAATTAGTACCGGTACCAGTACCAAAATGACCTAGTTTCCCTGTCCGTCTATCTTTTTGATCTCCTGGAATAATATAGTTTAAAAGCTGAGCATGAAACAGACACATGATGGATAGTCTGCGGGCGTAAATTTTTAGACCTGATATTTGGCGCAATGCTTGCATGTGCACGTCAGATACATGTACATGTAAGTATTCACACTAAAGAATAACTACAAACGTTGCATTTGATGGCAAGTAATGTAGAGTTTCTTAACCCTTTCAATGCTAGACGTAAATCCACTGCCTGTGCTAGACCCTTTTTTGAGGAAAAAAGGGAGGTTGGAACTGAATGCCAAGCAGTACTTATGGAAGCTTTTATGAAAAATCTTTTTGTCTGTTGGGATGGGTATGAGGTTGGGCTAAGAGGAAAAAATAGAATTTTGGAAATTTGCATAATAATGTAGTCACGTGACGTCATGGCGGCCATTTTGGATTTCTCATTTCTCACTAAAGCTAACACGAACACAAATTTTTCTCCATGAAATACTTAAAAGATATTGTTTTTTTCACTGGATTTTGATAAAGATATATAAAATGAACAAAAATATCAATAGCAGCCATGAGCAATGCCGCCACGAACACGCGCATCACGTCTCCCGCTGCCATGACCACGTGCGGATTGCAATACCTTGTTTTTACTTTCACTTTCATCCCCAAGTCCCATATCATTATCAATATAGTCAGTCAATAGATCTACACGTTCGGGACTCAGGAATTGCCTACGTCTTTTACGATCCAGCAGGCCAGCATTATTATCAACATCAGAATTATTGTCAGAATCTACTGCAGACACAGGGCTATCGTGTTCACATTGGGATTGTTCATCATGCACAGGAAACATAGCTAGCCATGGGCGGAACGTCGCGCAACAAATCACACACTTCATAATACCAATCGCTGTCCTGACTACTATCATTATCAAGTAACTGGAAACGAATTGTGTATCACCCGCCTCGAAATTGTCCATGTGTTGGTCAGCAAGACGTCATTCACGACTTCGCCGAGAGTGCATCGTCTACGTTGTCACTATGCACTCCGCCATTTTACGGTTTGCCGCTTTGAAACACGTGGAAATATGTTCTAGTGTATAGAAAATACAATAGATGGCACTTGCAGTTACGGTACTAATTTTAGCGAGGGCTTTACTGAGTACACGGTAATACCAGGTACGCGCATTTTACCGACATTTTATAATACCCGGTACTACCGGGTAAAGGCAGTGAAAGGGTTAAAAGGTAAAAAAAATTTTCTGATATTTGTTGCATTGTTTGCATGTGAACTTGTAGATTAGACTTGACACTAAATGATTTACTACAAAGATCGCATTTGATTGAAAGTCAGCTGGCGCAATGTAGAGTTCCTCAACATGCACATTTCTTGGCCTGAGATTTGGTGCATTGCTAGTTGTATGTGAATCTGTAAATAAGACAAGACACTAATTGATTTACTACAAACATATTTGATGGTACATCTAAGTCAGCTGGTGTAATGTAGTCTCCTTCAAGTTATTTTTTTTGGGCCTGATATTTGGTGCATTGCTTGCTCGTGGACCTGACGAAAAGACTCTACTACCGGTACATGTAAATTAATTACTACAAACTTGATGGCAAATCAGCTGATGTAATGTAGAGTTTCCTCAACGTTCCATTTTTTGGCCTGATGTTTGGTGCATTGCTTGCATGTGAACCTGTAGATCAGACTTGACACTAAACGATTTACTACAAACATCGCATTTGAACGGTTTCTGTCCCGAGTGACGGCTGGTATGTCTCTTTAGATCGCACAGTTGATTAAACGCCCTGCTACACAGATCACACCTGTAAGGTTTTTCTCCCGTATGAATACGCGTGTGAACTAACAGGTACGATTTACTCCTGAACGATTTACCGCAAACATCACATTGATAGCCCTTCTCTCCGGTATGGATCCTCATGTGACATTTCAGGGTGGAGCTATCGTTGAATGACCAACTACAGACCTGACAAGAGTAGGGTTTTACTCCTGTGTGAATACGCATGTGTTTTCGGAGATTAGAGTTTTCATGGAATGATACACCACAAATCTCACATGTAAACGGTCTTGTTGCTGAATGAATATTCATGTGTTTCGTCACATCAGAAGGTCGTTTGAAAGATTTACTACAAACATCACATTTATATGGCCTCTCACCAGTATGAATTCTGACATGTCTCTCAAGACGTCCAGCATCAGCGAATAATCTACAACAAACATCACATTGAATGCGATTGTCTCCATTATGGATACTGATATGTCTCTCAAAATAAGCCTTGTCTTTATAGGCCTTACCACAAACATCACATTCATATGGTTTTCCTTTAGTATGAACTCTGGCATGTCTCTCAAGTAGACTATTTTTCGGAAATATTTTATGACACTGATTGCATTGATGTTTTCCTTTTGTTTTAACATACTGCCGACTATTTTTAGATCTATTTGGTTGTGTTGTAAGAATTAACTGTTTATGACTACATGTATGATTCTCAAGATCAATGTACCGCGTAAAACGTATATGACAAACAGTACATTGATGTGATGAACACTCTATTTGTTTAACATGGGTTTTATAATGTTCTTCAAAGTCGGTGTATAACTCAAAGATTTTATCACACTGTTTACATTTTTGTGAGTTGCTTGCTTCAGATTTCTCTTCTTTTACATGTATTTTACAATGATCTTCTAAGTCTAAATATTGTTCAAAACGCTTGCTACAAACTGTACATTGATGTGACAAACTAGACTCCTCTTGTTCAACATGTATTTCACAATGTTCTACTAACTTAGTGTATAATTCAAATTTCTCGTAACACAGTTTACATTGATGTATGGCTTCAACATCATCAGTTTTCTCTTCTTTAATATGTTTGTTGATATCAGTTGTTACCTTAGCGAAATGTACTTTACAATTTTCATCATCAGTTTCCTCTTCTTTAACATGTATTTTATTGTGAAGTTCTAGGTCACTGTACTGTTGATAAATTTGATCACATACAACACACTGGTGAAATGTACTTACATCATTAGTTTCCTGTAATATAAAAAGAAAATTAGTGAAAAAGTAAAATAGTAAGACAATCATTGTTTACTTGAACATGTATTTTGTTGTGGATCTCTAGTAGACCCTAAATCTATGGGGGAGTTGCGAGAGATATGGGGTTTAACGTCCACTCGACACAAATTAGGTCATTTCGGGACTAACATATGGTTCAATTTTATTTCAATAATTCTCTTGCGCGTAGGGGTCTTTTTAGCAGTGGGAGGAAACCGGAGAAAACCCACGAGGTTGGACAGGCAACCCAACTACTTGTCACGTACAACCAGGGAATCGAAACCCCGCCAATTGACTCAATGACAGACCGTATGATACAGCGTGCGCATGCTAACCATTCGGCCATCCATCCCCCTAAATCTATGGGACAGACCCACCATGAACAACAAAAAACAGTTGAATCCTGCTTTCTGCAAATTTATTCCTGATCGAAATCTGGATTTACTGCAATCTGACTAAAACACAGATTCTATTTCGTTTCGTTTTTATAGTTCAAGATTTCGTTTTACTTGTATTTTCTACACTAGTATCTGAAACAGATATTATCATTGACGTGTTCTGGATGATATGAGGGTTTAGGCAATGAAACGGGTTGTTACAGCGAGATTTTGGCGTGTGGTGCATGGAACTGTGGGTAATCCACTTGAAACACCAATGCTGATTGGCTAATCCAATGTCTGACATCATAGGGTCAAAAGCCGCTTGTATGACCTCTGACGGGACCTATCACTACAACCGGTGAGATCTTCATGTAGTGTAAGCCAGTGGTTCTCAACCTTTTTTAGCCAACGGCACACCTTGGAACACATGAACAAATAGCGGCACACCTGGTTAAATATATATGAAAAATATGTGAATTTTGCAAAATAAAAACATGGCAAGTCAGACGGCATACACTCTTAGATAGAGACTAGTCATAGACCAATAGAATGACCCAAACTAAATAAAGAAAAACACAGCTATCAATGTACCAGTAGACACCAGTGAATACTCAATTGGGATCATGTGGTTTTTTGCATTTTCTTAGTGTGCCGTTTAAAATTCCACAACACACTTAGGAAGATCTTGCAGCACACCTGTGTGCCATGGCACACTGGTTGAGAATCACTGGTGTCGGCCATCGAAAGTATAAAAAAACGAAACCAAATATATTTTAATCAGATTAAATTTGGTCAATGTTGAACATGTCTTCCAATTGTTGAACGTGTCTTCCAATTTGGGGATCCTGATGGCTAAGTGGATAAGGCGCTGGCTCGCTAGCCTAGAGGTCGGGTGTTCGATCCCTGCATTGGCCGAGAAAGTTCATCCAGATTTTCCGGCGTGGTTCCCCCTTGTCAGTGATGCAGGACGGAGGGCCTGACAAGGACAGCTGTCTAGTCATTCGGACGAGACGAAAAACCGAGGTCCCGTGTACACATTGGCGTGCACTTAAAAGATCCCTTGACAATTGGAATTCGATATAAGAGTAGGCCGTAGTGCCGCTGTCCGGGCAAAATTTCCCTCATAGCACACTGTATGGCGTATGCCCGTCTTCATTAGCCGAGTTCGGAGCAAAACAGTAGGTAAACCCCATTTCATTTCATTTCATTCATGTCTTCCAATTTACTGGTTTAACAAAAGGTTAACCGATTCTCTACACGGGATTTTTTCACAATCGAGTGCTCCCTTAAAAGAAGCAAGTAAACATTGTTTAATTCTGTTTTTATTATCATCCAATTGTTTTTGATAGTGAATAGTAAAGATCAATCAATGGAAAATAGTTCAAATGGGATTCATTACTATAATCAAATGGACTGAGTTTTGAAAAATATAATTAATTACCGGTAATTATACAATGCATAAAGTACACACAGAGATCCTTTTTGTGAAATAATCATGTCTCTAGCACTTTTGAATTCTGAGATATGGAGTGGAGTTGAAAATTGAAGCAAAATGCCCAATTTGAATTTCGCGAAATGGGAGTCTGTCAGTTGGCCTAACTCTGTCAATTCTGCTTTGATTTTGATAAACCTGGTGTTGTTACAATGCTGAGGTGTGCAGCTTTCAGAAAATAACAGGGTTATCGACAAAAAATTAATATATTTAAAAACGACTCTGAATTTTTCTGTTGTCTTTCGGCAAGGACAGCCAGTAAACGTAATAATAGTAGTTTACAAATTGCTAATGACGTAATTGCGGGAAGTTGTGACTAAAATTTTATTATCTTTACAGAAGTAAAATGTAATATAGAGCAAAGTACGGTGCTTGAGCAAAGCTCTTTTCCGGTAACACAGAAGCGTAACTAAAACTGTCACCCACTGACTGAAACCAGATATACATGTACTGGAGAAAACTGGCAGTGCGCATGTCAGATTAAAAATCTCGCCGAAGCGAGATTACGGGTCTCATAAAACTATTTCTATGACGTGTCTAATCATGAATGATGTCACATATGTTAGCCGTGAAATTCTCACACTTTTTGTTCTTATTTTTAAACAAAATTAAGCATATAATTTAGCCTAGATCTAAATTTAAATCAATAAGGAAAAACGAAATTATTTAACATTTTTTGTATCACTTGAGAAAATTAATTGGCTTTATGTCTGACAACAATCACAACAATCACAACAATCACACCAGCTTCGCTTTATTCAGGCAATGCCGGTTACATATTAAAGTAGCTAAGTCTCTAACTCAATATCATCAAAAATTTGTCAATTTAAATCAACATTGTTCATGTGATCTTACAGGGAAAAGATGGGCTTCTGATATCCAATATTCAAGACAAAATAAACATTTTACCATTTGGAACAAGGGACTCAAAGAACGAGGCTAGACATATTCCACAAGTCATGTCAAATGGTGACGCTATATTCTTATCTGGAGAGCATGTGCAATAAATACTATCGGTGTAGACTGGAATAACCAGACGCTAAAGATTGTCATTTAATTGAGACTTTGGCGCATTTCGCCGAACATAACTGATTAGAAATTACAGTAAAAACAGAAACGATTCAATGTAAATCAGTTTATATACATTCATATTACATTATTGTATGCATTGCGACCCATTTGTGTCAATTTCTAGCGATTTAGCTCCTTTAAAACTTGCTTCAATAATTTCAGAATTGCAATATCGCCATCTTTGATCTATTTCCTGTATTGGTTGTTTGTAATGTTTCGGATGCTCTGACTACTACCCTAACCTTAACCCATAATCCACATACAAACCTAAGAAAAAGTAGTCAGATCAACAAACAGAGCCCGAATCACACAGCTTCGCTCTACTCAGGCAATGCCTGTTGTTACATATTACTAGTTTACAAATTATTTATGACGTAATTAGATTAGTTTACCGTCTCCATTTCTTGTGGAAAGTTCTGACTAAAATTACACTATCTCTTTACAGAAGTAAAATGTAATAAATCTTGCTTCGATGATTTCAGGTTTGCAATATCGCCATCTTTGACCTATTTTCTGTCAATGTTAATGGTTGTATATAGACTTTGACGTAGACCGAACCAACACGAGTATTTCATTGAGAGAGAGAGAGAGGGGGGGGGGGGTTAAAGTTCACTCGACACAAACTAGGTCATTTCGGGACTAACATAGTGTTTAATTTTATTTCAATAATTCGCTTCCGCGTAGAGGGGTCTTTATCAGTGGGAGGAAACCGGAGTTAAAACCACGAGGTTGGACAGGCGACGCTCCTCCTTGTCACGTACAACCGGGGATTCGAAACCACGCCAGTAATCAATGACAGTAGGCCTTCTCAATGATCAGCAATATCTACACTGAGATTGGTTGACATTGTGTCGAGTTAAAGGGCCTATGGCTCTATTTTTTTAGAACCGTGAAATAGACAAAAATGGTTCTAAAAGCACATATTAATGTAATATGAATGTATGTAAAGTGATTTATATTCAATTTTCAAAAAAATATTGTAATTTCTAATCAATTATGTTCGGTGAAATACGTGAACAGTTCAAATTGAACGGCAGTCGTTTACGCCTGCTTAGACCATCCTACACTTTTTTTAAATTATTATTTTGTCATTCGCGAATCAGCCTTTACCAATAACTTCCTCATTAATTGTGTTGTAGGATGTGTTTTTATTTGTTCATTACAAAATTGTTAAATAGGCTTCCATCCTATTTGTATAAATTGAATGACATAAGTATAAGTTCTGTAGGAGTTTATTCCAATTTACCCGAGGACAAAACTATTACAACACAATGTTATGTCCTCTCACACTGACATTGTGACAACCACAAGTTAACTGACCTCTTTCACTGGGGTGTACACTCTCTCAAACACACAACCTTACATTAAAGGGACAGCATATTATGATCATTGGTATAAATAAAATAAAACCAAGTACGAACAATCCAAACCATTAGACAAAATTCGAAGTCCTAAAAAAACGGTATAGGCAAAATGGTATAATCAGCAAATGGGCTGTTCACCGTGTAGTATATAACAGGGGGACTGAACCACACAAAATTTACACAAAAACAAATACACGGACAGGACATCATAGTATACGGAGCGCCCAAAACTTAAAACAACTTAAAATTTTAAACAACAATATCAATTTTATTTAAACAACAACATCAATTATATTAAAACAACAATATCAATTTTAAGATAACACATTTTTATATCAAAATCAAAATTATCAAAGTAGTCTTCAAAGAAAGCGATTTTATTAAAACAAATATTACTAGATTTGTTAGATGAGTTGTCTTATATCTCGACATACTTATGGAAAAACAGCTACTTATTTATTTGAGCGACGTTTCGAAGAGTTATGTTTTTCCATAAGTATGTGTTATAGTTTAAGAATAATATAAATTCCTACAAGATTGTGTACAATACAGGCTTCAACTGGAAATTGAAAACCTTGAACAACAACAGGGAACTTAACTGTAGAAACACAAATTAGCGTAGAACCATTATTACCCATACGAAATTGCAAGGGTTTATCTAACATATTTACAGGCAAGCTACGTAAATGCGCAGAAGATTGGATAGCTGATGACGAAATCAGTGTCTTAGATGCACCACTATCCAACAAAAGAAGAACAGATTTCCCATCTGTAAGAGAACCTTGACAAAAATTATGACTATCTAAACTGGTAGAAAAAACATCTTCGATATATGAAGCTGGTTGAGAACACTTATTTACAGAATTTGGCCAGACAGAATTCAGGGATGCACGAGGAGCATTATCATTTATCCCTGTTTTCAAAAATCCGAAGATTTGCCATAAACAACGTTACGTTGTTGGATGAGCTTCTGACGCTCATAACAATACTGTTATGGATGTCTTGGCCCAAAACAAAAGTCATAGAAGATGACCGACTTCCTAGGTCTTGAGGGAAAATTGTAACCACCATGTGTTCGACGCTAATGACGAGCGGACTCCTCCGAAAACTGCTGACTATTTCTGTGTGCACCATGATGAGGAAGGATATGCGATGATCTATGTGTTGACTGGGATAAAGGTCAGCGGTATGATTAACGCGCGTATATGCGTAAGGGGACTGTGAAAACCGTCGTAAGGATTCCCGATGTTGATCTGGAGAATAATCTGTGATAGGACGACTTTCGCTGAGGAGATCCAGAATACTGACGTTCGTGCTGCTCTTGCAGGTTGTGGCGCGGAAGAGGTGAACGTGATATATGACTATGGTTCTCGTTTAATGTAAGATTGTCAAATATATCTTCTAGAAGATTACTGTTAGTGGTAGTAAAAACCACCACTCGGCAAACCTCAGCAGATTCCAGTACCCCACATCTAGCCTCGGCTGTATGACGAAATCAGCCATTGGAACTACTTTCAAGTTCCCGGACAACCAACGGCGTTGTCCTTGACGACGCCTTTGAAGAATGTTTTATCATACACATATTTCAAAGTCTGAAACTGTTTTTCTTTCAGACAAGGACAACTTTGCAATGAAAATTCTACACACGCTTCCAACGACGCTATTTTTATAACTTCTTTTTAAAAGAGGCAAGTTTTCCTAATAAGTGACCGGTGCCGCATCGCAATTGTATAGGCGTAGGTACATATCATTTACTGTCATACAGCCGAGGCTAGATGTACAGTAACGGAATCTGCCGAGGTTTGCCGAGTGTAAAAACCACATGACGCTCTTGATTTGCAGAACACGAGGGAGTATCATGCATGGGCATCGGAGAAACATTGTGCCTTAAACAGCAAGTGTGTTATAGATAAACCAGCGGCTGCCAGGCAGGATACGCCCACATTTTCGAGAGATGGATACTGAACAATTTAAAATAAAGTGATTTTTCGTACAATCAGGGGCCATAATTCAGGAAGTTACAGTCCGATATGCGCTAATATAGAAAGGAATCGAGATCTTTGGGTTATAAACTTACATTTCAGTTTCAACAAAATCGGATAATTGTGACCTCTATAGGGTCCACAACCTTGATATACCATATTTTTACGCTATTTGAGAAAGAAGGGCGGCCATTTTGTCTGTCAGTTTTGGGCCGATTTTCACGAAATTCGAACTCAGCCGTCCTTAGGGTTTAACGGTGATATAGTAATACGGTTTTTAAATCGGATAAAAATTATGACCTTTATAGGGTCCACAAGCTAAAAACGCGATTTTTCGTACAATCAGGGGCCATAATTCAGGAAGTTACGTTCCGATATGCGCGAATATCGAAAGAAACCGAGATCTTTGGGTTATAATCATACATTTCAAGTTAAAACTAAATCGGATAAAAATTGTGACCTCTACAGTGTTCACAAGCTAAAAACGTGATTTTTCGTACAATCAGGTGCCATAATCCATGAAGTTACTGTCCGATACATGCCAATATCGAAAGCAACCGAGATCTTCTGGTGATAAACCTATATTTCAAGTTTTATTGAAATCGGATACAAATTGTGACCTGTAGACTGTTCACAAACAATTGTGGACGGAAGTCCGGGCGGACGGACGGACGGGTAGGGGCGACGAGCCGACGACAATATACGTCCACATGAAAATGTGGGAGTATAAAAACGACCCCGAAGAAGGTCGCCATTGTAATGGAGTCGTGAGGCTAGGCGACGCAGATTTTCCAAGTTACGAATGGGCTTTATATGAAATGAAATGAAATGAAATGGGGTTTAACGTCCTACTGTTTTGCTCCGAACTGGGCTAATGAAGACGGGCATACGCCATACAGTGTGCTATGAGGGAAATTTTGCCCGGACAGCGGCACTACAGCCTACTCTTATATCGAATTCCACCTGTCAAGGGATCTTTTACGTGCACGCCAATGTGTACACGGGACCTCGGTTTTTCGTCTCATCCGAATGACTAGACAGCTGTCCTTGTCAGGCCCTCCGTCCTGCATCACTGACAAGGGGAAACCACGCCGGAAAATCTGGATGAACTTTCTCGGCCAATGCAGGGATCGAACACCCGACCTCCAGGCTAGCGAGCCAGCGCCTTACCCACTTAGCCACCGTGATCCCCAGGGCTTTATATGAACCTATTTGAGTTTTCTTATTGGAGAAGCGGTCCAGAAAGTTTATTTTTATATCACTTTTAGAACCATTTTTGTCTATTTCATGCAGATAGTAGCGGTCAAGCGAATATTTACTGCTGGCTAGTTTGTCCGTAACCTTCAAATAAAATATTAAAGAGCCAATCCCGATAATAATGTTGGAGCATAAAGCTGCTTAATTTTGTGTTAAAATCCTCTACCTAAGGGCCGAGCAACTAACTCAATATTGGTGATACGTTTTCAAAAAACTAAAACCCGCCCGTCTTCATCTGGAAATGGAGACCGGTGTCTTAAGCTGTATTATACGGTGTCTGGATAAGACCAGACTTTTATTTTATAGAAATAATGTGTAGGTGAAATTTACCTATCCTGAGCAAGTACAGGGTATCCACACCAGTCGGACCAGTCTTTTTGTTTGGCCCGAATGGTCTATCAGTTGGTCCGACTGGTCTTGATCTGAGTTAAGTCTTTGGTACAGCACATGGGTCATTCACTGTAAAGACCCCAAAAAGGAATGGGAATCGATTATCAAATCGACTCCAAATCTTAAACGGGTTACGTGTCCGGATAAGCATTTTTGACGTTCGCATCCAAACGACTCAATATTTTGAACTGAAATTTTAAGGCAATGTAAATACAGCATCCCTTTAAATTTTAAAGGACAATATTGGTGCCAGTCATTGTCACATATGTGACAGAGCTGGTTAAACACATTCCAAATATAATTTGAACACAGAGATCATTGCTACGATAGCTGAGTAATACAGGTTTCCTGAATCGGAAGTGACGAACGCCAAAGGAAAACATGAGTCATATTGGAAATTAGTAAATTCACTTCTTCAAGATGACAGTAAAAGTAAAGAAACTAATGATATTCCGCTGAAAACATGGGAAAACCATTTTTCAAAATTATTCCAAAAAAAAAAAACACCTGAGAAAACTAGCAGTAGCAACGA